TCCAACTTAGAGCTCCTCTCCTTACAGTCAAGTGGCTTTCACTCCTTCTACTCTAAACTACTGTGTGCCTATTTTTTGCTTTTCACAGTCAAAGTCAAAGGTTTGTTGGTGGCAATATCGGCATGCCTTCTAGTTGTAGTTGACTTTAAGCGCACCTGAACTACCCATAGTCGTCTATTTACGGGCTTGCACTCAATAGTCAATCAATTCGTTTTCTGCTTTCTATCGCATACTTCAACTATTTGTGTATATAGTGTGTGAATTCTAAGTAATGGAAAGTGCCTATGAATTAGTTCCAAGAAAGCGGCTGTTCACGTCAGGAATAGAGGCCGTTAAGGATGTACTTGCTTTTCCTTTTTTTCGTCGAGATTAGATTGGTGTTCAGTGTACCGCTTGTGATGCCTATGCTTTGCAAGCCTACATAAGGTACAAGATAAAAAAGAATGCATTAGATGGATGCTCGGGTATTGAGAAGGAAGGACGCTTTCAGAGGTGAAAGGCCATGGGGAGATACCGTCTGTGATCCATGGATCTCCGATCGGGAAACCGTATCCAAACTCTGTGGCTAGTCTGTGCTCTTTGGACTTTTCAAACTTAGCGAACTGAAACATCTTAGTAGCTAAAGGAAGGGAAATCAACCGAGACCCCGTTAGTAGTGGCAAGCGAGAGCGGATTGGGGATTTGAAGAAAAACAAACACAAAGCTTCGTTCCTCAGCAAAGTGTTCACTTTTTTTTCGCCATGTTTCATTCGATTTGTTGTGGATTGGATGATGGAAAAACCATCAAGCTACGACTTCAAAGCTTACCTTATTTTGAAAAGGAGAAAGGGCTTATTTTATAGATGTTGAGGTTGAGTAAGGGGGCGGAGCTTGAAGAGCGAAGCGAGCGACCCCCTAACCTAGGTTGGGGGAAACACTCTACAATCTAAAACGTTGGTTAGGGTTCCAAACCTTTCTCTAATAATAAGGTAAGCTTTCAAGCCGCCGCCCTTTAAAGGAGGGGGCCCAGTGAACTGTAATTGTGAACAGATTGGAAGATCTAGCCAAAGAAGGTGATATCCTTGTAGATTCATTCCTATGGTTCGATCCTTCCCAGTACATGCGGCATGCTCGAATTCTGATCGCTTTTACGCATCAATGACCGATAGCGTACAAGTACCGTGAGGGAAAGGTGAAAAGAACCCTATTTATGGAGTGCAATAGAGAACCTAAGATCCGATGCGAACAATCAGTTGAAGGAGCAGAGCTTAGAGCCTTGACTTTATGTAAAGAGCACTCACTCTAATGGCGTACCTTTTGCATGATGGGTCAGCGAGGAAATGGGAACAGCGGCTTAAGCCACTAGGCGTAGGCACTTTCTAGAGGTGAAATCTTCTAGTTCTTCCTATTTAACATGAAACAGATCGATCTATCCATGAGCAGGTTGAAGAGAGCTCTAACATGCCTTGGAGGACCGAACCCACGTATGTGGAAAAATACGGAGATGACTTGTGGCTAGGGGTGAAAGGCCAACCAAGATCGGATATTGCCGATTTTTCCGCGAAATCTATTTTAGTAGAGCGTATGATGTCGATGGCCCGAGGTAGAGCATTCAATAGGTAGGGTGGCCTCATTTTGCCTTACCAACCTCAGGGAAACTCTGAATACAGGCTTAGATCGATTGTACAGACATACGTTTTGGGTGCTAAGATCCATAGTCGGGAGGGAAATAGCCCAGATCGTGCGCTAAGGTCCCTAAGCAATCACTTAGTGGAAAAGGAAGTGATTGAGCAATGACAACCAGGAGGTGGGCTTGGAAGCAACCATCCTTTGAAGAAAGCATAATAGCTCACTGGTCTAGCTCCATGGCACCAAAAATGTATCAGGGCTCAAGTGATTCATCGAAGCGAAGAGACCTTGAAAATTGCTTTTTAAAGTGTCAGTAGCGGAACGTTCTATCAATCGGGAAAGGCTTTTAGTGACAAGACCTGGAGATATCAGAAGTGAGAATGCTGACATGAGTAATGAAAAATCCTATGAAAAACACGATCGCCTGCCAGTGGAAGGTTTTCTGCGTTCAGTCAATCTACATAGAGTGAATCGGTCCCTAAGGAACCCCCGAAAGGGCTGCTGTCCGATGGGTACACGAAAGTGATGAAGTTGCTTTGACTATAGAACCATGCCTGTCTGTTGGAGCGAATTGGATGATCGGGCTGAGGGATGCCCCTCTTTCCCTCACTCTCATTTCCCTAATATGAACCTTGAGTCATCAAAGCCTTTCTGACTCGGCCTGGCCCGGTCGCCCTATGCGACTGGCGCTTCAAAAGGCGAAACTATCGGTCCTAGTTTGGTGGCCTATCTTCAGTAGGGGCCTTTAGTCTTTTGATTAGAGTAGGGGTCGCGAGAGAGCAGAATGTACCGCCCTACCATAGTCATGAGTCTATTTATAGTCGCGACTGTTGTCATAGTTAACAAGGTTGAAACTTTCAGGAAAAAACTTCGAATTGGGAGGGCGATCCTCCCGATGAATTGATCGTACCCCAAACTGATACAGGTGAACAAGTAGAGTATACTAGGGCGCTTGAGAGAACCATGTCGAAGGAACTCGGTAAAATGACCTCGTAACTTCGGTAGAAGGGGTGCTCTCCTATCTTTTGATTAGGAAAGCGGCACATACCGGGGGTAGCGACTGTTTGTTACAAACATAGGTCTCTGTTAAGTGGTAACACGATGTATAGAGTCTGACACCTGCCCGGTGCTGGAAGGTCGGAAGGAGAAGTGTTATAAGCTTTGAATGGAATCCCCGGTAAACAACGGAAGTAACTCTAACTGTCCTAAGATAGCGAAATTCCTTGTTGCATAAGTAGCGGCCTGCACGAATGGTGTAATGACTACCCCGCTATCTCTGACATGGACTCGGTAAAATTGAATTCTCTGTAAAGATGTAGAGTACCAGCGTCTAGACGGTAAGACCCCGTGCACCTTAACTATAGCTTCGCAGTGACAACCTTAATCGAATGTGTAGGATATGTGGGAGGTGGTGAGACACAACGACCAATCTTGAAAGACCACTCTTTCATCTAAGCATGTCTAACCGCCACACCGATCATTCGGGGGGAGGCGGTACACTACGAGGTGGGTAGTTTATCTAGGGCGGATGCCTCCTAAAGAGTAACAGAGGTGTGTGAAGGTAGGCTCAAGCTAAGATTTTTCTCGTGAGCGTAATGGTATAAGCCAACCTGAGTGTGAGACGGACTGGTCAAATAGAGATGAAAGTCAACTATAGTGACCCGGGAGTCCCGTGTGGATGGGCTCTCGCTCAACGGATCAAGGGTACGCCGGGGATAACAGGATGATGACTCCCAAGAGCTCTTATCGACTGAGTCATTTGGCATCTCGATGTTGACTCATCACATCCTGGGGTTGAAGAAGGTCCCAAGGCTCGATTGTTCGCCGATTAATGTGGTACGTGAGTTGGGTTTAGAACGTTATGAGACAGTTCGATTCCTATCTACCATTGGTGTTAAAGGGAGAACTGCGAGGAGCCATCCCTAGTACGAGAGGACTTGGTTGGGCTAACCTATGGTGTACCGATTATTATGCCAATAGCAGCGTCGGGCAACTAATTTGGTATGGAAGAACTGCTGCGCCATGGGAAATCCTTCTCTATACAAGTTCTCGGATGAGGTTTTTGAACAAAGATTCGATAGGCGAGAGGTGTAAGCACCGCGAGCTGTGAAGCGATCTCGTACTAAACGAAACGACTTTCACTTTCCATAACAAAAATGAAAAAAAGTCAACCTATTCCTGAAATTGCGGTCAATCTCGCTACCTCTTTAGTTGCCGCCCCCTACTTGCTCATTCGCAATTACTACCATAAGAAAGTCACCCTATATCTAAAGGGGCTTATGCACTCCATGACTTTCTTATGTTATGGAGTCTCGAAGATTGAATTTAGTTGCCAACCCTAGGNTGATTGGGTCGACCAGGCCAGATCATGAGTGAATAGAAAAAAAATGTACATAGCTGTTCCAGCTAAAATACTTGGAATAATTCTACCACTTCTACTAGGATTAGCCTTTTTAGTGCTAGCTGAACGTAAAGTAATGGCTTTTGTGCAACGTCGAAAGGGTCCTGATGTAGTGGGTCGTTTGGATTGTTACAACCTCTAGCAGATGGTTTGAAATTGATTCTAAAAGAACCTATTTAACCAAGTAGTGCTAATATCTCCCTTTTTAGAATGGCTCCAGTGGCTACATTGATGTTAAGTCTGGTCGCTCGGGCCGTTGTACCTTTTGATTATGGTATGGTATTGTCAGATCCAAACGTAGGGTTACTTTATTTGTTTTCCATATCTTCGCTAGGTGTTTATGGAATTATTATAGCAGGTTGGTCTAGTAATTAGAGGGCGGCCATTCGATCACCTATGATACTAGGACCAACAGGTTCAAAATGGGTTTGTGCTGCAAGTGTTGAACGATCTACTCTACACATATGTGGGCTTACAGGGCTAGGGATCATAAACCCTTTCTTTCATTTATCAATAGGGCCCTGCCTTGATCGGTCACTTTTCTAGGCCGAGATCGATAAGTGGAAGTCTTAAAAAAAAAAAAAGAAGTCTTAAAAAAAAAAATCTTTCTCTTCGCACCTCAGATCAAGAGGAAGGGCTGCTTGTCAAGCTGGCCTATATATAATAATAAGAAATTTCTTTCTATTTTATATTATTATATAATTATAAGAAAAATAGAAAGATTCACTTTCTTTCAACCGTCTCCTTCTTCTTTGTCAATGCTACTAAGGACCTATAGGTTTGCCTACTTTACTTATTAAAGATAATGAGAATGGGTTATTCAAACAAAAAGGAAAAGGCCCTACTTAGTTAACTGACAATGATAAAGGCTTGCAAAACTAAGTAGGGCTTGAGGCCCCCTGCAAATCCGTAAATCTGAGGAGCATGCCGCAACAAAAGGATGGTCCCCTATGCATTTCATTTTTCCTTAAGGGAAAAAATAGTAACCCCATCATAGTGAACCTCTCCTTGTGATCGGGATGAGGTAGATGCCTCCCAACCAGGGGGAGGATCGAATCGGAGTTTCCTTAGGTAGCCACCGACCTACAGTTATCCTTAAATTTCTGTGCTTTGTGGAGAAGAAGCGAACAAAAGTACGCTCGCTTGTTGTCTTGTTCTCTGTCGTGAACTGGGATCGCTCGCCAGCTAGGTCAGATTGGAGCAAGATTTTATGAGAACATATTTCCCATATTCGGTTACAAGGGGCGGAACGACCTCTCGATCTACTTACTGCAGCCCAGGAAGAAAAACATCGTCTAGGCATTCCCTGTTGCTCTGATCTCCCCTATGCCTAGGACGTTGTCTGGGTCAAGAGCCATAGTTAGTTGGTATTTCCATTTGGTTGTTTCTTCCTTATTGTTGATATCGACAAGACCCAGTCAGATGATGTCTGTTGGTTGGTAGTAAGAGGACCCTTAGTACCTGCATACCCAAAAGAGGGCGCTGGTTAAAAAAAATCATTTGATTTTCTTTCTTGCTCTCCCTTAGCAGCGGGAAAGGAGTCTATCTATCTGCCTAGCTTTGGTAGATTTCCCCCAACGCAATCCATAGAAATTCCACGAATCCCTTGGTGGATAAGTCTGACGACTCAGCAGCAGTGCAGAATTAAGTTTCTTGTCTGGTGGATCTGATATATAGTTAGGGGGCAATACATACCAAAAGGTTCGAAGAAAGAAGGCGCATAAAAGTATATAACTAACCTACCCTTCTGTATAACCTATTCATATTAGTGAAGCGGTTGGATGCATAAGGGAAGTGCACGTTTGTGAGACCTTAGTCGGGATGCATAGATGAGTCAACCTACGAGCACGGAAGATCATGGTACTGCTACCCCTCTCTAAGTAAAGGTAAGATTCTTAGCCCTATAGATGACTCCATCTAAAATACAATAGGGACAACCATTTTCGGGTACTCATTTCGTATCTTGAAGAAAGAGGGTCAGGTTAATAATAGCTATGTTATTGCCCTACTGATTTAAGGCCTTCCCCCGATCCCGAATGCACATTTTTTGGGTTCATCTTCAATTGATGTTTTCTTAACATTTCGAAGACCTTGCATAAATTTTCGATGTGGTCGGTTCTTTATTTTGAAATGACTACCAAATCATCCACGTAAGGCTCGTATATGTTATGTAGGAGGTCACTGATAATTTGTGTCATCGCTCTTTGATATATTGCACTTTTGTTTTTGGGCATATCGTAGTAAGGAAAGGAAGTGAGGGCGCTCATTTGAATCAAATAGCTGAAACTACTATAACTCCTATTTTTCTGCCTTAAAGAAGCCTTCTAGCTCATTTTAAAGCATTGAAGAGAGAGATAGGACATTCTAAAGATAGTTGTTGAGAAAGCATCTGATTGCTAACTACGAGTCTATTTTCAAGCTAACCGAATGCCTATCTGCTGCTAGTTCTGTTCCACTATCTGCTCTTACTGCTCTCGTTGCCGGTGTGATAGTCTAAGTAGACGATGCTCTCTTTCCTGTTGTTTTCGGGGTTCATAACTGGTGCTATTGAATCTGAAGTTAAGGGAATATCACCAGTTCTTGGAATAAGAGCTCTGGGACTTCATGGCTTTGAAAGAGGTTTAGCCTAGCCCTAACCCTTTTCGGAATAGAATGCTTCTTTGACAGAGCTTCAAGCAAGAAGGAGGAAGGCCCTCTTTTTGCCAATGGATCACTTACTTGGAATAAGCGGTCTTAGTTTGATGCGGAATAAGCCATTTTCCCCCTATTTCCATGGAAAGGTGTCGAAGGAATAGGCACATTTAGAGCTGTGGGACTTGAAGGAATAGAATGCCACGTTAGAATAGGCAGGGACAGTCAATCATTGGCTTAATTTCCTGGGGGACTCTAGTATAAAAAATTCCCAGTATTTCATCGTGAAAGCATCACATTATTGTACTTATTAAAGGAAAGAACCGAATAGACAAAGGGTTTACATGACCGCTCGCTTTGGACAAGATGCCATAGTATAAGAAGAAGGCCTTTGTTTGCAAAGATAACTTTCCCGCTTTCCTTTGTGAGGAAGGTTTGTGCACATGAATTAATAGTCAAAGTATAAGGAAGATGACATAGAGCATAGAATGAGATTGATGCTTCGAATGCCCAGTTTTCAGGGGTTGTAATAGAAGGAGTTGTGGCACTTTCGGAAGGGGAATCAGACTAAACTGTCATTGTTCTAGGAGAGCAGGAGTAGATGGCACGTTTAACCATGTCTGTCAACGGTGAAAGATAGCCCTGAAGTAAGGGCCCCAGAGATAGTATTTCTCAACTGTCGATCGACGTGACAATCATGCCTGCTTGACGAAGCCTTTTTCATTTAGTCTCCCAATAAACGAAAAAGTATTTCTGGTGACACGAAAGTTGTGTTCGCCGCTCTCTTTCCTATTACACTGCGCTAAGTGGTCTTTCCCTTTCTTGCTGGATCACTACTATGGAAGATGATAACGACTACTCCCAGTATCTGTTCAATCCATGTTGATTCTAGAAGAGCTATTCCCGCCGCCTACCAGAAAGAGACGAGGAAAACTAACCGCCATCCTGCTCGAACCTTTGCTGCCTGAGTTATATAGCTGACTGCGAGAAGGAAGGTTCAAGCTATGGCTTCCCCATGGGATGCTCATTTGAAACCTTCGTCCGGTCAATGCGAGAAAGAGAGAAGTGACGTAAATATAAGAATGGAAGGTTTGTTTGTCAGTTGTCAAGCCAATGAGGCTCTTCTAGATTTATCTACACGGCAAGGGAGAGATCAAAGGCGAGGTGGGAAATGCCCCGCATGAACTATCTGATCAAGTTTTATTTTTTTCCTATCACATGCAGTTGGCAAAGCCGTGTTTGATCGTCGCGTACATACTCTGTTACAACTTCGTTCATGCGCCAATCAATTGACAGTGAAGCAGAGACGGAAGAGTTTTGATCACCATGTGGGTAGTCTCTATTAGGGTTTCCATTTAATGTGCACTAAAAAGGAAGGAAGACAGGTGCGACTATAGTAATTTCAAACATACGAGCATAGGATTCTACCAACCCCATACTAACGAATGAAAGAAGCTCATCGCGGATGATAGGACAAGCGATATCGGTTACATTCTTGCTCTTCCTATTCCATACCATAAACAGACACATTTGATTCATCGACATTGGCACTAGAGACTCTACCTCCACCCACCAGCCCTTTATGGAGTTAGCAGACCAAGAGAAACAATTTCCCTATATAATAAAGAAAGTAAGAAGGGTTCCAAATCATTGAAACAAAAAGCACTAAATAATGTTACAACGTGGTGGAAATGATCACCGTCAAGCACAAGATTCAAAGCTGGAATCTTCCTACTCTTGTTAGTTGGGACAGATCATCCTATCTTGTTGATTCTCCTTTCCCACCGCATCGAGCTCTCTCTTTTAGGGTGGATGCACAAGAAATTCACTATGAAAATTGACATGACACAATCCCTGAAGAGTATGATGTGCCCTTCCTTGCTTCTCTTGATCCCACCCACCTCCCCTGGAGGCAGGTCAATATCAATATCTATACCAGAGATTGCTTTTAGCTTTATCTTTTCAGAGATAGGAGAATTCCTTCTGTACTTACAAGAATGCAACTTAAGGAGAAGAATCTCTTGACTCAGGAGCACCTGAATCTATTCTTTCTGTGTCACACATCCGCGTATGTTAAAGCATCCGCCTATTCATCAGTGAAAGTAAATGCTACTCAAGGATGAAAAAATAAAGCTGGTGCATTGTCAAAAAAACTTGGTTCATAGAGTAGACGCCTTTCCCCAAGATATTAATCTCCTGCGGGTGACTTTTTGTCTTACGACACCACATGGTAATTGATCGAGTGCACTTTCCTTTCTCCTACTCCTACTTTGGGAAGGGAAGTTCTAAAGGGCGGGCATGCTCGACTGAAAGGAGAGGAAAGATTCTTTACTTTTGCTGATGTTCCTTTTCTTACGCCTCTTAAGATCCGCTATCTCTATGATTTGATCCTTCGCGTATCGGCCCTCTACTTCTTTGATCTCCCTTTCTCCTGGCGTAAGAAAGTGACACAGGGTTGGCCAGCTTTTTTCAAACTTGATGGTCAAGTTCCCTGCTACTTTCGTAAATACGCCTTGGATGAGCCTAACAACCCTGTACCTGGAAACACTTTTGTTTTCAACTGCCAGATGGTAAAGGAAGGCGCCATCCCTCATTTCTCTCGCAATCACAATAGCCATACAGTCGAATAGTTGAGTTAGATGGGGTATAACTGTCGAACTATCAAAGAGGTCTGCTACCAAAGAATTAGGAGTTATAACATTCATAAAAGAAAGAAAAAACCAATATAGGAACTTCAACTAAGAAAGAATAAGAATAAGAAGAATTGCTTGAGTAAGGTAGTCACTTCTTTTTTTTGGGTATACCGCTCTGCGATCAGAGCGAATGAACATAAAAATTTCCAAATATAATGAATATCCTTCGCCCCTTATCTCCTCATCTTCCTATTTATAAGCCACAACTTACTTCGACGTTTTCAGATTCCCATAGAATCTCTGGAGCTTTCTTAGCCACTATACTATTCCTTTTTTATCTTCTTTATATGAAAAATGGTTTGATTTACTTCTTTCGGGCCCTACTTGAAAAGGTTGGGTTCTCTGTGAGGCGTCGATCCCTCGCCTTATTTTGTAGTAGGGCGATTAGATGGGAGGGGGAGCTCAGGCCCTCGAGAATCCGCGTAACGCCATGGGAGAGCATTCCTTAGAGAAACTCCATACCCTTATTTCGGATTTCGAATTGAGGGGAGTCAATTTTGAGTACTTCTCTCAATGAAAAGGGAAGGTACCCCTGCGAACGGGTGGGGACGAACACTCTACCACATAGTGAAGTGGATAGCTAGGACTACTAAAATGGATATCGTGTACAACAACAATCTTATATTAAATGTCGATTCATCCACACTTCCATTCCTTGTAGAGTAAGGCTAACTGTTTGTTGGTTGGGAGTTTGTATGAGCGGTAATGTCCACGTACGGCTCCGTGAGAAGGGTAGTGGACAGAAATGGCCATATTGTACCTCACTCTCGTCTTCAACGGGGTCTGCTCTTTCTTTTTTGGGAGAGTATGCCAATATGATCTTAATGAGGTGCGGGGATTTGAATCTGACATTCGTTGGGCTTCTCTTTTTGGGAGCCTGCGCCCCGGTGTTTTTGTGCAATAAACCCCTCCGGCCGAAAACTAGTGGTAGGTGGTCCTGCGGAGCTTTCAAAAAAAGAGCAGCCTTATGTGTAAGCACAACAATGAACCGCGGCGAACCCTCAGACGACCTATCTAAGATTAGGGGGAATCCTCAGTAGTGGTGACCCTTTTCACTCTTCCATGGACTGATATATGTACCGAATGCTCATACGGGAAAGTCGACTCCTGGGTCTGGAACCTGGGGGGTTGCTCCGAGAAATCCTTTCTTTCTCGTCCACTTAGGGGGGGTGTGGACACATCTACGTGGATTACAAGTGACAGTTACAAGAATGGCGGGGAAGTTAACAATACCCGACGACATTCAGGGATGGATGTAGACCTATCGGGCAAGGATAATCATTCCGGTCCTAGGAGAAGTGGCGATCATTCTCAAGAACAAAAAAGATTAGGCTGAGGGAAGCCCTATGAGTCACTGAAATGACGGCAGGAGTGCCCTTTTTCTATCAATAGAGGGAGCAAAAAACGGGCTTTCCTCTCCTTTACAATATGAAAAAAGAAATAAGGCTCGAAGTTTAGACCGCTCACAGTAGTTCTACCTATAGAAAGGATCATAAAAGAGGCAATCAGAATGGTACTCAAATCCATTTATGATCTCGAGTTTCCAGACACATCGCACTTCCGCTCGCGTCGAGGCTTCCACTCCGTCCTAAGACGGATCAAAGAAGAGTGGGGAACCTCTCGCTGGTTGTTGGAATTCGAAATTAGGAAGTGTTTTCACACCATCGACTGACATCGACTCATCCCGATCTTTAAGGAAGAGATCGACGATCCCAAGTTCTTTTACCCCATTCAGAAAGTCTTTCCACCGGACGACTCGTAGGAGGTGAGAAGGGCCCTTACTTTATCCCACACAGTGTATTACTATCGGCCCTACCAGGCAACATCTACCTACACAAGCTCGATCAGGAGATAGGGAGGATCCGACAGAAGTACGAAATTCCGATTGTTCAGAGAATAAGATCGGTTCTATTAAGAACAAGTCGTATTGATGACCAAGAAAAGTCTTACGAAGAAGCAAGCTTCAATGCTCCCCAAGACAACAAAGCCATCATTGTGGGGAGGTTAAAGAGCATCCAATGCAAACCGGCCTTTCATTCTCTTGTTTCGTCATGGCACCCCCCTCCACAAGGACCCCCCCAGCTCAGGGGACCAGAAAATGCCTTTCGTTTTCCACCCTTCGTCAGCCCTTGCCACCTTCCTTAACAATCCCTCAAGCCTCCTTTGTGCCGCCTTCTTCATAGAAGCCGTCAGGTTTACCCGAAAGTCCGAATTCTATGGTAGAGAATGTTGTAATAATAATTGGGCCATGAGAGACTCTTTTAAGCATTGCAAAAGAAAGGGCCTGCTGATAGAGCTAGGTGGGGAGGCGATACTTGTTATCAGGTTAGAGAGAGGTCTGGCCCGTAAGCTGGCCCCCGTAAAAACCTATTACTTAATAAGGATTTGTTACGCGATATGCCGACGACTTACTACTGGGAATCGTGGGTTCCGTCGAGCTTCTCATAGAAATACAAAAATGTATCGCCCACTTCCTACAATCTGGCTTGAACCTTTGGGTAGACTCTGCAAGATCAACAACCATAGTTGCACAGAGTCCGGTAGAATTCCTCAGTATGGTCATTCAGGAAGTCCCTCCGAGGGTGACTCCCATATAATTCTTGCAAGAGCTGGAGAAGCGTCTACAGGTAAAGCACCGTATCCATATAACTGCTTGCCACCTATTCTACGCCATCCATTCAAAGTTTAGGAACCTAGGTAATAGTATCTCGATCAAAGAGCTGGCGAAGGAGATGAACGGAACCGGGAGACTACTGGGCATGGTTCAACTAGTGGAGACTCTTAGAACAGCTAGAGTAAGAAGTCCCCAAGTGAGCGTCTTATGGGGGGCCGTCAAGCACATATGGCAAGGATCAAGGGAGATATCGTTGTTGCATAGCTCAGGTCAGAGCAAGGTGCCATCGGACGTTCAACAGGTAGTCTCACAATTGGGCACTCATGCCCCGACATTGTCATTGTATACCCTCGCGGGTCAGAAGGCAGCGGGGGCAAGATCTATCAGCAGTGAATTCCCCATACAAATAGAGGAACCTATCAAAAAGATACTTCAAAGTCTTTGGGATCGAGGTCTCATTAGCCAAAGAAGACCCTGGCCAATCCACATGGCCTGCTTAATGAACGTCAGTGACAGAGACATTGTAAATTGGTTCGCGAGCATCATGATAAGTCCTCTGTCCTACTACAGGTGTTGTGACAACCCTTACCAAGTCCGAACGGTTTTCGACCACCAGATCCGCTGGTCTACAATATTCACCCCGACCCACAAGCACAAATCCTCGGTTCGGAATATAATCCTAAAGTACACCAAAGACTCAAATATAGTTAATTAACAAATGTGGTAAAACCCTTGCAGAGTTCCCCAACATCATAGAGCTTGGGAAGCTCGGATCCGGTCAAGATCCGAACAATAATGAGCACTCAACTACTAGTAAAAAGGGAGAAAGTTGACTTTGATAAAGAAGGTGCTTCTTGCCGCTTTAGNAGAGTTCCCCAACAGCATAGAGCTTGGGAAGCTCGGATCCGGTCAAGATCCGAACAACAATGAGCACTCAACTACTAGTAAAAAGGGAGAAAGTTGACTTTGAGAAAGAAGGTGCTTCTTGCCGCTTTATTAGTAAGTAAGCTTGTTTTATATCTCCTCAATAAAGGCGAAAGATCACTCCTAAAAGCAAGCTTTCTCTTATATACGATACCATACCACATAATTTCATTTGCCTTCCTATTTAAGGCACTAGTTTGGATGGAAACCCTGATAAGGCAGGTGGCCTAGCTAACATAGTTATCCGTCAGAAATAGCTGCATTTCATTGCACGCTAGTATAGAGGCATATAATTTTTCGGGTGTTAAGAAAGATATTGAATCGAAAGCGGACATGATTGCTCCCTGGCTAGATCGGCTGTCTGTACCTTTGCTAACTCTTCTACCTATAAGGAAGCTTGAAAGAGGGAATTCTCTAATCTATGACCCCGAAAGAAAGATAGTCTTTTTTTCGATTCCCCGCATTGGAACTGAAAAGGGCTATTCATAAATAGTCTTCCTTGCTTCTTACCTCTTATCTTATTGTAGGAGATAATCGGAGAGAGAAAAGTCTTCCTATCAATTCCTTTTGAATAAGGCTACGCTCATTCATGCCTTTGAAACTATTGAAAATAGAATCTTTATTTTCAGGTGGGTTTTCTTCTCCACCAACAACCAAGATGCATGAAAGCGGATTCCAGCGCTGCTAGGCAGAAATACATGATGGCATAAAACTCAATTACTTACGCTGATTGTTCATCCACTTCAAACGCTCAAAACAAACCATTTTCCGTGTGAAATGACATGGGTTGGTTTGGTAACTTAGCGAATCCCAAGCAAAGCAATCTACGTAATTTTCGGGTTCAGTAGTAGGAAAGAAAGGGACCTCTCACTCAATTCAATAACATGTTCTAGTGCATATTATTATAATAATAATATTTGCATTTGACTAGACTTTTTGGATGTTCCATGATTAAACCGACTAGAGGCACTTTCGATATGCCACCTTGTTTATAAATATAAAAAGTCTTTTCAATTCCATTTGACTCGTGGCGTCAGGGACCCTCTAATAGAAACCACATTTTTTTTGTCGTCGATAAGTTCTCCCTCAGTTCCCTACTATTCATAAGAAATACTGATTGTTAAGAGACTGATTTATGAAAGCCAGGTGAGGCCTCAACCGACAGCGTTGCTTTGTTCTGCGGCGATTTTCAATCTAGCACCCGTTTCAGCATGTCATCTCGCTCGATTCAAAAAAAAAGAGACGATGTTTTTGATTATCCATTTCTATATCGAAAACGAGTAGTTGATCCCACGAAAGCAACGCTGGCTTTGTTGCGGGTTCAACTGGAATTGTAAGAAGTGAGGTAAATTGCCTTTCTCCCCACCGCATATGCCTCCTCTGCTTA